TAGTCAATGGATGAATTGATTGATGTTACGGAAGTAGTCGGAACTATCCGAACGAATTGATTATTTTTATGGTAGTCTTGAAGTATAGCGAGGAATTTCATTCATTTAAATACAAAGTGTGAGAAGGAAAATGATCGTTTAGAATAAAAGTAAAATCATCTAGAATGGTTGGAACGAAAGAAAGTGGAACGGAAGACGTACTGAAATAACGGAACCGAAGTACAGTCTAAGAGGACCTGTGGGACGGAATCAGTCAACAGGTTATGCATTGATGCAAAGCAGATGCAAAGCAGAGTTATTCGATAAACTCAGACTCGTAAAAGAAGATTTTTGGATTCTATCTTAAACAAAATCGGCTAATCTTATGATGTCATTGTATTTTTGAAATTCCTTAATTAGCTAATACGTAAAGAAAGAAGTGTATCTTTCTAACTGTAACTTTCATATTATTTACTCGTGGAAATTTTTATTGTTTGAAATTTTATTAAATTTTGTCTTTACTTGTAACGAGGACTCAACTTATCTGTTCTATATATTAGTTCTGATTACTTCTATATTCCATTCATAAATCCCTATTTTTAGTAGCTTTATTCGATACCGGGTAAATTTCATCGTTGTATGACACTCCTAGATACGAAGCCAAAAACAGTAAACCCGTCACAAATAAGTTGAGGAGAGGTTTACCACCAAACTTGATATGTTATGACTACTCTAGATCTTGATATGCCAATATAAAATGATGGGGGAGGGGCTCCATTAATTAAGTGAACAATTTTTAGGCAATTATCACCCACCCCATGTCAACAACTATCAAACTTTCAGTGAACCCCCTAATAAAATTATGTCAAATTTTTGCACCCCCCGCCTAAAAGCTAACAATATTCTATACGGCTGGCTTTTATGCTAAAAATAGAATTAATGAAATTAAAAAGTCTACAAAATAAATTTTAATACATTTCTTTTACTGCATCTGGTTGAAAAAGTTGTATGCTTGTGCAGGCTACATAATTTATTTTATGTGTTATGTTAAGGATGACTGTATAATAGTGAAGCTCTCAAGTTTCCTAGGCTCATTAGTTATCCATCAATGGAAGGATAGCTCATGTACTTCAATATATAAAGCATATATACATATAACAGAAATCTGCACTCTCACTCCCGTTACCTAGCAACCCCCTGATCTAGTCTTCCCTTCTTTCATCACTCCATGTATTTTCTGATAACCTCCTTGAATTTGCGCACATTAGCGGACACCTTTATGGTCCTGCCTCCCACCCCACATTTACACTTTTTACCTAGCTACCTCTGAATTAAAACTTCTCCCTCTATCTTCTTTCAACCTTATTCATCATTTTCTAAATTCTAACTCATTATATTAATTACTGCCATAATATTCGTCTCAACTCTGCTATAGTGCTAACACGCATCTAATTTATTTATTCTAATTCTCTCCAACTTTTCTTTCTCATTTAACAATAAATAATCTATATCATCTATTCCTCACTCAACTAAATTAACAATAAACCCATCTCTCTTTCTACTTCTGTCCTTTAACATAAGACTTTATTTACCGACTGACTCAATTTATTAAGAAATTAGACGTTTATTGTTATGTATTCTTGTTATTTGTTATTTGCGGCCATTCCGACAGGTGATAGGGAAAACATATCATCTACACTTCTATGACGACGCAGTTACGCCCTGGAGTCTTATTCAATCCAAAAACCCTTATATACCATCCCCTCTGAGATTCTGGGTTGAGCTCTATCATATCCAATACAGCTACTTCCTGGAGTCGTATTCAAACCAAAAACCCTTATATAACATCCCCTTAAGACTATGGGGCGTACTTTGTCGTATCTGCGGCTGACTTCCAGACCTTCTTTGCTGTTACGTCCTGGAGTCATGCCCACTTTGAAAAGAAGTTTCAAAATTGCCACAATTTCAAAATGCCAAATAGTGGTGCATGGCTCTGGGATAATCACTACATCACCTACAACAGCTATAAGAATTTTAACACTACACCGCAGGGACATCATCAGCGCCTCTGAGACCAGAATCAACAGTCCCCGATGAGCGGAGCTGCACATTTTACGTTTCCGTGTGGCCATTCCAACATTTGCTAGGGAAAACATACTAGCAAACACCTGAGTAAAATCTGGAGCTCTGACAGCCCATTCAGAGTGCTGATTTCCCACCATGGCTTGTCTTGTCCTTTTGCTCGTATGTCTTGTATTGTATGACAATGGGTGCTGCAAACAGAGCTAGGGAAAACATACTAGCATAGTCCTGTGTGGGCTCCTGGAACCTACAAGCCCTTGTGGGCAACAGACTTCCTGCCGTGGCTACAGTTGTCTCTGGTTTTTTTTGTCTTGTCCCGTCTCCATGCTTTCATCCTTTTGTGCGGCTCTGCGGGCCTTGCTGGGGTGTGGGCTGTCCTTGTGCTCTTCTTCCTGCTGCTGGCTTGGGTGGTGTTCTTCCTCGATGGATTGTGTGAATGTAATGCACTCGTCAAGGTCTTAAGGTCTTGTCAGTATCGAAAAGGTCCAGTCTTTGAATTTAGTAACAGCTTTCCTGAAAAATCTGTCAGATGAATAAGCACAATGGTATTAGTCTTCAGATTAATATTTTGTGTGGTCAATCTGTCTACAATCTACACTGAATAAAAACAAATTTTGATGATGTCAAACTATGACTTCCTTGTCAAGAACTCAACCGGTTTAGGATTAAATTGGTAGTGACGAGCGATCGAGTGTGTGCCGTACTAAAGCACCGACTAATTTCCTATTTTTTTATTTATTAAATCTATTGCAAAACATAACATTGTTGACGTCATTTTATCTTGAACTCAACCTCTCCCATGTCAACAATTGTCAAACTTCTTCAAACCCCCTTCCCCTATTTTGTTGACGTAATTAATTGACGACCCCTTGGCTTATTCCCTTCACAATACTGCAGAGTTTTATACCAAATAAATCAGTGTACAAAGTATTTTAAATTGTGATAAACAAATGTTATGGTACAAGACATGCTCTGCAATAATTAAACTGTTACGTTTGACTATGTGAACAACGGTGTAATTTATTATACAATCTGACTTAAGCGTTAGTTATAGCTTTACATGTTCTACCACGAAGCATTCTTTGGTGCTTTGAGAAACTTAATACCAGTTTGTGTATATACTGCCTGAAACAGTTTACTTGTACAGAACTGAAGAATATTACAGTAATTACGATATGTCAGGGACAAAATATATTATAGGTACCAGTCTAAACAAAATTATTATTATTAATAACGTTACGGGTTGGATCTCTCTCTCTCTCTCTCTCTCTCTCTCTCTCTCTCTCTCTCTCTCTCTCTCTCTCTCTCTCTCTCTCTCTCTCTCTCTCTCTCTCTCAATTTTGTCGTTTATTTTAAATTCCTCAATTATTTTTCTGCTTTATTTAATTTTAAATTTGCCCGTAATATGTATTTTTTTTTCCATTGACGATATTCGATTTTAGTCATCATAGGTGGCAGTATTAATTAATAGTTGTGTCATGGGTGTTCATTTTGTGCACAATTAGTTTCTTTCAATGTTTGAATAGATAAAAGTATTAATTCTCATTCTCTTTTTTCAGAGAGTGTGGATTACTTATTGTGCAGAGAAAAATATCAGTAACTCTCGCATTAGGAATTGTATCGTTTTATTATTTTGTGTCTACCTTTATAGTATATATTTCGTTAGAGATTTTGCATTGTGTTGATGTACTGCTTTAATCACATTTTGTTCAATGCATCGATAACTTAATTGCGTGTTAATAAAATGGATTGTAATGTAACCTGGTAATGGAAACTAAATGGCAATTCCTATTTTGAGTTAAAGCATCGTAGAATATTTTCTAGGCATAGGAGACAAAAGATAATGGAATGAAATGTTTATAGATACTTATGATATTTGAGAAATGAAATGCTTGAATATCTTAAAAAGAAAGGCCAGTGTCTATAACCACGATTCTATTGACACTAGAAAATTTATCATTTTATTCGTATCCATGTTTTTACAAAGGCATAGTTTTGTTCCGAAACAATCGGGTAACGTAGGAATATTCGACTTAGTACAGTGTAATTTATTACACTCTGTATATTATGTTTATCATACATTGCTCTTACTAAAGTTTATAATTAATTCAGAAGTAACTTATGGAACATTTTTATTTTTGCCTACTTAAAAAGGGGTCAATTTAGATTCAGGTATAAAGTTAATATTTATTTCAGTTGTATTCATAAGCATCACTATGACAGACCTGTTATTTCTATATGTGATTTATGTTTATAAAGACGATTGACAATATTGTAAATTTTGAGTTGACATTATTGTAAAACAGTAATGTAATGAGTTGACACTGGGCTATGGTGTGATAAAGGATATGTTTGGGTACGTACCACGAGTAACAGTATCTTTGCCAGAAACACTAAATGTGATGTGATTATGATTTTTAATGTAGCTTTAACAATTTTTTAGTCATATCGCTACGATGTCTGCAGTGTGACAGTTTATAGTGATGTCTAGACATGTAGCATGATGTCCCACCCAGTCCCATTATCCTGACAGCAAGCCGACCAGTCCTAACACTAACATCTTAACGCTGAGCGTCAAGCGAGGCAGCTGAAACACTCTTATTTTCTGTTTAACTTTTATACCTGCACTAATTCGATATCTGTTTCTTTATAAACTCGTTGCATCTGATATATGTTTCTGTATGCTAATAAACAAACAAACTGTAGATAAATTGAAATCCTCTGTCGCTAATATTAATACTGTATTCCTTTCATAGACAAACTCTACTGCTTCAAAAATATTTTGTAATATATTTAGTTTTCTTTTTGTTTATTTGTTGACCTCTTTCATGCTTATTGTTTATGATATATCATATCATAAATGGTAAACGTAACGATACAATTAAATTTTCAGACTCCGTAATCAAAATTTGGCTTCTTGTTCGCTAAAAAATGCTTTGGATCGCTCTGGTGACCTAGTGGTTAGAGCTTCCGCCACGGATGCGGGAGGTCGTGGGTTCGATCCCGATCCCCGGTCAAATCATACGAAAGATTTACAAAATCGGTACTAGCAGCTGCCTCGCTTGGCGCTCATTATTAAGAGATTAGTGTTAGTACTGGTCGGCCTGGTGTCATGATGGTGTCAGGATGGGTTGGACATCATGCTACATGTCTGCGGCATATGTCCCATTGCTAGATATCACTATAAACCGCCACAATGTAAACAACTTAGCGATATGACTGAAAATTTGTTAAATGCTACGCAAAAAGTCATAATCACATTACTTTTAGAAGGTACTATGCAATACATTTTTAGATACTTTCAAAATTATTAATCTGTCTTTGATTACTGCCTTTGCTACTCGTACTGCTTCTCATCACACATTGTAAGGTCATAGCATTGTCAGTCGTGCATAATTACTTTATACTGGCTTTTCAAGTATATTGCATTATCTGAAAATTGTTCTCAATGTACATGTCATTCTTTAATAGTTCCATTATTCTGTAGAAAACAAGAAGGCTGTTAAAAGCGGGAAGTTAAAAAAAACGAATTGTATACAGCTGTTTAATTTTTACAGATACATTTTCGGAAGAAAGTAGGTAGGCAAGACATATCAATTTGTGTTTCTCGACGTCTTCCGAGTGAACTATCAGTGATATATCAGACCAGTTTTTCAAGATTTTCATATTTGTTAATTTCCCTTGTTCAGGCTTGGGACTAAACCCTTAATTGTAATGCATCAAATGAATCCAAACGTTTTATTCATTATAGACTGAATGGGATTCTGTTGCATAGCCGCGGCATCTATAAAACCATGCTCTTCGTATTAGAACAGAATCCCATCATTAATCCTTATTTCTGTTTTGCCAGTTGCAGATGGAATGATGCGTTATATCTTCAACATACAGTGAATTATTTGACACACATATCTGAACATCGGTGTTTAATTATGAATTGATTTTGATTTTTGTGAAAATAGTTTTCAGATATCATTTTATGTGTACTGTTATCTTGAGTGCGAGACAGTCTTTAGTTGTGAATATTAAAAGGTCAATGCAGATGAGGAATTTACGTAATATTAACTGGTAGATCACCGCTGAAGTGGAATGCCCAGAATGTGGACAGATATATCGCCGCTGAAGTGCTACGTGCAATTATAACACACCTCGGGTAGTACGTTAAAAACTAAATCGTAGCTCAGTTAGAATATCCGGAAAGTAGACAGTTATACAAAGCTCATGTGGTCAAGTGTATGTCCTGAATGTTCCATTCTTAACAGTAGGGTAGATATATGAAAGTGACCATAGGCTTTAATTACATTTGATAAATGGTGAAAAGTATGCCAGTATATCAGTCAGATTAGACGCATCCGGGAAAAGTTAAATGAATGATTATATTATCTTTCTATCAATCATTTATTTTATGAAATTTTGGTGATTGGAAATATTTTAATGCATGGTTTTTCTGTGATCTCACTACCACATCTGATTAGATATAACGTATACTAGCCCCTTTTGTCTGGTGTTTACCTCTAATTTAAAGTATCGTATCAGTGATATGTTGTTGCAGCGAATAATATTTACTCAATATCACTTTCTTCACAGACATTAAGCAGATTAATATAAAGCTATTTTATTGCACACACGGAAATGAAGAAGCGATTAAGCCAGAGTGCTATGGTATTGTTGGTCTGAAAGTTAATTATCAGCAAACAAGTAAATAAACACGTTGAGGTCTACCTTCCAAATAGTATATGTGTATTTATTGTTCATTGCTCTGTATTAAAATGCATTTAATTTCCAGTTTAAATAAGGTGATTGCAGCAAACGATTGGTAATTAGACCATTACGATTCAGGGTTATGCAAGGGGATTACTGTCATATCGCAGTAATTCCGAACAAAATACCTGTAAAATGGCGTATTCTTGTCCTAATGTTGGGAATTTGATGTAAATGTTGCACAAAGTGTAAATCAACTTGAAAAATGGATGCTACTTCCATGGCCCTCTTTCTGCCATCTGTATTTTCCAACAACAGAAATTTATCTGGTGGAATTGAAGCAATACACCTGTAACCATCCGTGATGGGGGAGTGACGCCGGGATTGCCGGTGAGGATCGGCCAACGAACGAAAAGTACTTAATCTTGTATAACGAAGTTTTTAGGTCACCTCCTGTCGATTGCGAAATCAACTTTTGATGTAGAACTAGCAAATTATAGTTATGTAGTGGATGTAAGATAAGTACATGATAGGTGGCGCTATACAGAAAGACAAATATCGCAAACTTCGAATACCACTATACCACAACCGATGATGTCATTAATATAGTTCACATATCGACTCAAACCTGCTATCATGGATTCGTACTCTCACTTCTAGACAAATAATGCAATTGTGTGATTTGAATCTTGCATAACATCATTGGGCATTATGGAACGACAGACTGGTTCACAGATTTGTTACAGTGATATTAAGTTTATGTAAATACATATTATGTTTGAGGACATGAGCTATGGTTGCATTTTTAAAATAGCGTAGTCACCAGCAATCCTAATATTACTCGTTAACTACTGGTGATGCAGATGCAGTAAAGTATGGTCATCTAATGTTCTTATGATCAGCACACCATAGATGTTTATGTAAATACAGATTATGTTTGAGGACATGAGCTATGGTTGCATTTTTAAAATAGCGTAGTCACCAGCAATCCTAATATTTTCTCGTTAACTATTGATGATGCAGATGCAGTAAAGTATGGTCATCTAATGTTCTTATGATCAGCACACCATAGATGGCGCTATGCAGAAAAATTCCGAAAACTTCGAATACCAAGATACCATAGAAATAGCAGTATACTGTAGAATTTTTTCTGCTGTCAAATGTTTTAATAATCCATGGGATTTACTTGACCGAGGAAAAGTCTAACGCTGGCGCGATTCCGCTAGAAGTTATGATTCCCATAATTATAAAGACTTCGGTACAATTTTTTAATTGTCTATAAACCACATATCTGTAGGTTTTCTCTTCAATAGTTTTCTGTAACGTACAGTCAGCATTTCATGCCGTAAAAACTATGCAGCTACCCTTAATATAGGGATCTATATTTACTACACCACCTTATGTCAGTCAACTCATGGTTTTAAATCACATTTCTCCTGAAAAATAGCATCATATTTGCCACCATGGCAATATAAACTATATCTGCTGAAAATGGAACAGTCTCTTTTTATTCATTCCATTGGATAATATACCCGTCTCCGATCTTAAATACTGCATCTGGAGGCACATGATTAATTTACACAACTAGATTTTAATAGTGACTATTGAACTCCAAGAACAGGGAAACTCGTGCGTCTCTGACCTGAATTCACCAAAAGAAAACCTGACATCATGAAAAATTACGAATACTACGTGACGTTTGCTCCTAGTAATTTGTTAATTATTTTGGACTAAGGACTATCTCCACAGGTCAGGGTTCCCATAGTGAAACAAGTAATCACAAAAATCTAAGAATTCATTAAAATATATAACCAAAAGCGCAAACTCCACTTTTACTGCAATATAAAATACTGTTAGGAAACAATGAAGTTGTAACAACCCAAGCTTGTGTACTATTTGCATTTACATCTTCGTTTATAGTTAGAATTTAGTGACTAAATTTAGTCTCTCTTTATGACAAACGATGTCTTTGGAAGGTATTTCTCAAACAGACTGCTTAATTACGGTTTTTATCCATATTAAACCGTATTTTCATGACTTAATGATAGTCAGAATTAGTTTCCTCTATGGCACATAAAAGCTACTTAATTTAATAAATGTTCTCGCTATTGCCTTGTATAAGTGTTTAGGAATTTGAGATAGGAATATTGCTTTGTAATACGTGTATATATTCTGCTCAACATTTTATATTTTATTTTATACTTACTGACTAACCATTCCAATGTGAAGCTTGAAAAATAATACATGTGTGTTTTAAAAGTCCCATTAAAGTGTAGTCCTAAATAAGATTGGAAGGAATTTATTTGTGGCATCGTCACGTTCAAGACTTCAACTAATGACAACTATTGTCCTGAATTCCGTGACATTAGAAGGGAAAAGCTACCTGAGGCCACTCACAAACGGTGGATTTTTTATTGTTGTTTTCACTTGGTCTTGAAGTGGTATTATAGTAACTGCTTTTAGACCATTGTCTAATATACAATAAAAGTGTGTTTAACAACAGGCAAATCCCATATGCATACCGATCTGCATAGCCATATTTGCATAACTCATTCCCTCTTCTATTGAAGAATTGCATTTTGAAGAAAATATGTCATTTTTTATGCGAAAACAAGCAAAATAAAACATAAGATTTTTTTGTATTCAAACAAAAGACGATCGACCTTCATGCACAAAGCGTGATGATATGCAATAGGTACTGCAAGGGATGCGAACGAAGCTGACATATCACTTGATGTCACGTGTTTTCTGGCGCCTTTCCTGTTCCTTCCCGAATTCGTGTTTTAAGACATTCAAACAAATTAAAAAGGTCATATAGTGGACCTAATAAGTATGCATTGCAAAAAGATTCATCCAACAGTAAGCCAATATTAATTGCTTAGCGGCAACACACGGAGTATATTAATTTGATCTAGATATTTTGGCTATATATACATATATATATATACATATATATACATACATATACATATACATATATATATATACACATATACATATATATACACACATATACATATATATACACATATATACACATATATATACATATACATACATACATACATACATACATACATACATACATACATACATACATACATACATACATACATACATACATACATACATACATACATACATACATACATACATATATACATACATATATACATACATACATATATACATATATATATATACATATACATATATATACATATATATACATATACATACACATATACATACATATACATACATATATACATACATATACATACATATATACATACATATATACATATATATATATATA